GGTCCACCGTACGTAATCCATTTGTTGAAATAGTCTTGTAGTGGTATGGTGTGTGTGTGTGTGTGCGCTAAAGAGATGCTTTTTACGTTGGGTTTGTGAAGGTCATCTAAAGTGTTTGGCTGTCCAGGTGTGTTATCGAGCACAGGAGACTAGAAAGAAATCTCCTTGGACACTCAAATCATGTTCAAGAGCAGGGGCAAAATAATCCAAGACTTGATCTTCAAAGCTGGCGGCTACAACCCAAGCCTTTGCGTTTATGTGTCTTCTGACCAACAGGAAGGTGTGTGTTAATGATCCTTCAAAGTGCCTTCAGATGTAGAGAGTGACACACAAGCTGAAGCTGATGCCTGACATCCCCCCGCTGTGTGGCCTTCGAGCCATGACAGTCGTCTCTCCTTTCGTCTTACTACCACAGACTCAATCCTGACTCCCAGTCACCCGCTAGGGAGCCTTGGTGACATAGTGGGCTATGCATTGGTGGGCTCACCACAGTCAGCAGTTCCAAACCCAGTCATCCTTCGAGAGGAAGAGGAGGCTTTCTACTCCTGTACAGATGTACAGTCTCGGAAACCCACAGGGGCAGTTCTGCTCTGCCCAGCAGGGTGAGTGATGTCCACATGCACATTGGTCTTCATGGCGTGTGATAGTCGGAAAACCCGGTAAGCCGCTGCGTTGCTTGGTAATCATTGTAGCTTTCATTCAGGCAGACGCTTTCCCGTGCCCCATTATCCTCACAGGCCCTCTTTCTGATTGCTTTATTTTGTCCACTCCATTCTGCATCGGGGCTCTTATCCTCTTGTTTGCGGCATCACGCGCCCTCCGTTGGAGGCCTGGTAGCAAGCATAGATACAAGGGACATTTAAGCTGGATGCGAAGTTCCACCCTCAGCGGAGCACCAACGGCCACATGGTCTGACTAGGACAGTAGACAGCACTCTCCTTCCTTGAGCCGACCAAGCGCTGAAGCCAGTCTAGGTTTTCCTGAGGGTCCCGGGCCGTGTGTGCACCGGGGGTCTCAGCAAGCTTATGGGGAAATGGAATGATAAATCATGAAAGTTTCCAACCAACATTTGAACACCCCTTTGTATTTAACTGGACATTTTGATCCAGCAAGCTTTATGGAGCCCCGATGGCCTAGTGGGTTACAAGTTGGGCTGCCAACCACAAGGTCAGCAGTTCAAACCCACCAGCCTCTCTGAGGGAGGGGGGAATGAGGCTGTCTGCTCCCGTGAAGATGCCCAGCCTTGGAAATCCACAGGGACAGTTCTGTTCTGTCCCCTAGGGTCACTGTGAGCTGGAATTGATGCAGAGGTAGTGAGTTTGGTGAGTTTGGGGGGGGTTTATAGTCTTGGTTCTTAAATGCACGCTATCCCTGAGACTGAGACGTGAACACTCTGATTTCAGCGCAGCATAAGCATCAATGGACTTAAGGGAAAGCTGAGCTGAAGAAGCTGCCTTCTCCCTTGCTTTCCCAGTTAGACTGTGAGTGGTGCTGTGTGCCAGCCAGTGGCTTCCAACTCACAGCAGCCCTAGAGGACAGAGCGGCACCAGCCTTCGGGTGGGTTCCCAAGGCTTCCGTCATTGTGGAAGCAGACTGCCTCATCTGCCTCCCGCGGCGGAGTGTCTGTCAGCAGCCCAGCACTCCTTAAACTGTGCCCAAGCGAATGAAGTGAACGCCAATACCTTTCACTTACTGGAGCGTAACCCGGCTGTCTGTTTGTATCCAGCTTTTATCCTATGAGCAATTTAAGGGACCTTGGTGACACAAAAGGTTAAATACTCAGCTTGCTAACCAAGAGGTCACGTAGTAGGCTCTTCACCAGAAGGTCAGTGGTTTGAAACCACTATTCACTCCAAGGGAGAAACATGAGACTTTCTACTCCTGTAAAGAGTTACAGTCTCCAGGGCGTGGGGTGGTGGGGGCAGAAGGGAAGGGACAGGAAGGTAAGGAGGGAGGGTAGGTGGGAAAAGAAAAACAGGGAACTCACTGTTTGGATGCGGTAGGCTCTGCATGTCTTTCTTTGCATGTGTCCTAACCCACAAAGAAAGGGGAACATGGATGAAATTAAAAAGCGAGAATAAAAGAAGGTCCCAGCCTGAAAAGCCCTCCCGACCTGACTCCTTACCTGTCAGACCTGAACCCTGGTCGGACTGGTTACAAAGGAGGAGAAGTAACATTGTAACGGACTTAAATTCTTTCGTGACACACGAGCTAGTTTCAAACAAAACCAAGAAGAGCTAGTCTTGGGGGCAGTTCTACGCTGGCCTGTAGGGTCACTATGAGTTCAAACCCACTGGATGGCAGTAAATGTGTTGGTTTGTTTTGAAAGGAGTTTGCTCCTGTAAGGATCTCAGGCTAGGGAATGCTGGGAAACCACACAGGCAGGTCTGCGTGTCCTGTGCAGGCACTCTGAGTTGGAACCGACTCGATGGCATCTAACTAACAGCACAATGACCTGTAAACCTCACACTCAAACAAACAACTTGTAAATTTAAAAGCAAAAAAAAAAAAAGTTGCAATCAAGTCAATTCTGACTGATAAAAGCCCTGCAGCCCAGATTAGAATTGCCCCATAGGGTTCCCAACGCTGCACAGCTCTATAAGAACCGATTGCCTCCTGTTTCTCCTACAAAGTGACTGTGGGATTTGAACCACCGACCTTTCCGTTAGTAGACAGGAGATTCACCGCTGCACCACCAGGGTTCCTAAGCGCCTCAAGAAGAGGGACAATGCCTTCTATCCTAATACCTGGTATCGAGCCTGACACTTAGCAAGGGCACGATCGATACTTGTCTGTCTATGAACCGACCGACAGCAGTGAGCAAGTGCGGAGAACACGGCACACACGTCTCCCTGCCGCGGAGGCATTCCGGCTCACGGCGAGCCTGCAGGACAGAGTGGGACTTCCCCTTGTAGGCTTCTGAGACTGTCCCTCTTCAGGGGAGTGGAAAGCCTCCTGGTTCTCTTGAGAACCGGCGGATGGTTTCCAGTGATTGGCCTCGTAGTTAGCTGCCCCGGTGTGACCCACTGAGCCACCAGGGCTCCCTCTGGGCATTTTGAGCCGGGACGCAGTACCCCACAAGGACGCCTCACGGCCATTGCTGGTCAGTTTGCTCATCAGCTCCTACCTGAGTTTACCTGTGTTTCTCTGACAGGCCCTCGAACTGAGAGCAAAGGCGTCTCCCCGCTCGGTCAGTAGATGCCCTTGTGGGGCCCGTGAATACTTGTCCCACGGTGGGCGAGGCTTTGTAAACAGAACAAAAGGCTGTTTATCATTTCCCTGGGAAGAGAGTTACTGATTTACATGGAGCTTTTAGAGCCATCCTGGCTTCAGGTTTATCTCGGGAGCTAGAGCTCCTGGGTTTCACTGGGGCGGTGTGCTCACTTCAAGGCTGGTGGTTGGAACCCACCAGCCGCTCGAAGGAGGAAAGATGAGGTTGTCTGCTCCATAAAGATTTAAACCCACAGGGCAGTTCTCTTCTGCCCTAGAGGGTTGGTACGACGGAGGTGGATTCTAGGGCCGTGGTTTGGTTTGGGTTGTAACACATCAAGTCCATCTGAGTTTCCTTCTGCCAAACTGGTGAATTTCTCACATGCAGTCAAAGCTGTCAAGGGGACAAGCTACATCAGGGGTCGCCTGCCCGGGAAGAAAAAGTCGGAGCTTTCCCATTGCACAGAGAGCAGTCCATCAGGGGTTAAGAGCTCAGGCACCTTGCCAAACTCAGGAGACCCTGTCCAGTTCCGGCCCCGGCAGATTCACGCCACTGCATCTTCTCAAAGGAACCCCAGGATCGCCTTTGTAACTATCTGTGTTTGCCTACTTTTTTTTTATAGACAAGGGGTTTATAAACGGCTCCCAGTCCAGTGAAGGTCACGAAATTGACCCGTACAAGAGGTTTTGTTTTTCGGTGCGGTTCCGAGCATACCCACGGGCCCGATGCACCTGGAGCTCTTCGAAGGAATCCTTCCCCTGTGAGCAGAGAGCCCTGGAGGACGGCTACAGGTGAGACAGCAGCCGCTCTGGGGGCGCTCCCTTGTTAAGCACCACTCCTTTCCTGAGTGCCACGCGGGGAGCAGTTTGGTGCTCATGGGAATACGGTCGGTCGGTCGTTTCTAATGAGCGCGCAGGTTGAGCGGAGGAGGCCCGGTTCAAGCACTCAGCCGCTAACCAAAAGTTGGGCCGTTCAAGTCCACCGGCCGCTCCACCAGAAGAAGAGGCTGCCTGCCCCCGCAGAGACGGACAGCCTCAGAACACCGAGGGAGCAGGTCGACCTGCTCTGTCCTGCAGGGTCGCTATGAGCACTTGGCTTCTGCTCCCAAATTGGACAGTTCAAACTGACCAGCTGCTGCTCCACTGGACACAGGTGGGGCCAGCTGCGCCCTCTCAATGAACGGCCATGGAAACCCTGTGGGGCAGTTCTACTCTGCCCCGAGGGATTGCCTGGATGGCTATGAACGTGTGTGGTTGTGTTTGGGGGTGGCGGTGTTTTCTAGACGGGGCTGAAAGAGACTTGCGCACGGAGCGCAGCTGCGAAGGCAGGCACGGCCGCCTTAGAACCAACTCCAGCAGGTTCCACCCACCCCCCCACCCTGCCCAGCCCTGCGCATCCGCACCATCGGTGCCTCATGCAGCCTCTGCCGCAGGAGGAGGGAAAGAAGTCAGAGAAGTGGGTGCCGTTGTCGGAGTCTGCCCCTTCCGGTAGGGGCAGGGGAGCCCAGGTGCACAGCGGGTTAAAGTGCTCAGCCGCCCACCAACACCCTGGGGGTAGAAGCACGGAGAAAGCTGGGGCTGGTCTGCCCCCAAGAAGAGTGCGGCAGCCTCGGGAAGCCCCCTGTGCAGTTCTCGGAAGCCCTCTCCCCACAGGCTCGCTGGGAGCGGGAATCAACTGGGCAGCAGTGGGCTTGTTTCGCTCCATGATGGGACACAGGGGCGAGAGCCGACTAAGAATTTCCGAGCATGTTTGCAGCGGGCGGAGGAAGTAAAACCCCTGAAAACAGGGAAGGGTGACTCGAGGTGTGTTGGTTTGGTTTTAGGTTTGGGTCAGAGAAGAGAATGCAGAAATAGCACACGGGGTAAATGCAGAAGGGGGACTGTGCCTCCAGGGCCTTTGGACCAGTGTAGTCCAGGTTGTTTTGTAGGAGAGGGCCTTTGGAGCGAAAACACCCAGCCACGCCCTGCACCCTGTCCTTTTTGACAGCGTTGACACTTCTTGTCTTGGAAACCCAGCTCTGTAGACGTGGTCGCAGGCCCTGCTGCTCAGGATAAGTCATCACTGCACCTTCGCAGCCCTTGGAAAGCACACTGAGGGACCGAGGTTTAGGACCATTGCCTCAGGGCTCACAAAGATCATATTCTACGTCCAATTTTGCTGAATCGTGACTGGGGGGGGTCTTAGAAGCCCTTGGGTGGCCATCAAAGGAGCAGCGTTTATTCTTGGTTCCCGTTGGGAACAAAGAGTGGAGAGATGAACGGTCCAAGGCCCCAGTGCATCCAAAGACCGAATGAACCACGCCAACCTCGGACTCCTTGACTCTGAGACCAGAAGAACTCGGTGGTGCCCAGTTACCATTTCTGACCACTCTGAAAAGGACCCCATTAGAAAGTTCTGGATTGAGCAGGAGAGAAATGGGGAACGAAACTCAAGAGCGTAAAGACATGGCCAGGCCTACCGGCCATCTAGAGATAATGGGGGGCCTCCAAGACTGTGACCCTTGGTCAGCCTTCAGGACTGAAACTGGGTTGTGGCCTGTAGCTCAGCTTGCAGTCAAGCAATAGAAAGGTCTAGAACAGTGGTTCTCAACCTGTGGGTCGTGACCCCTCTGGGGGTTGAACGACCCTTTCACAGGGGTCACCCAATTCATAACAGTAGCAAAATTACAGTTCTGAAGTTGCAGTGAAAATAATATTATGGTTGGGGGTCACCACAACGTGAGGAACAGGATTACAGGGCCACGGCGTGAGGAAGGTTGAGAACCACTGGTTTATCAGGTGAGCAGTAACACCCGACGCACTAGATAGAGTCGCCCATCATTGGAGGACAGCAGGGTGGCATTTCCCAGGGACGAAGCTCGGTCTGCAGGAAGGCATGTCATTCACACAGGAGGAAGTGGCAATGGTGGGTTATGTGTGGAATTTCCAACGGGAAGGTCCAAAGTTTGAACCCACCAGTCACTCCACAAGGTAAATAAGAGGTTTTCTGCTCCAGGAAACGCACAGGGGCAAGTCCTACCCTGCCTTTGGGGCCACCATGAGTCGGAATGGACTTGGTGGAAGTGACTCTGTTCGAGTATCGAGGGGATGACAGCCAAGTCCATGAAGGGAAATGCAAATGGAAGACCCATTTGCTCTGTCGACTTTCCCTTGGATCACAACAGAAAGGTAATAGATAGACAGATAAACCATCGTTTCTCAACTTGTGGCCCAGGAGCCAACTGTAGAAGGAGCACCTGGGCAAACATGATTAGAGGCCTTCAGAGGCAGTTCTACTCTGTGCTGCAGGTCGCGCCGAGGTGCCCGCAGTGAGTGGGGCTCTAGGTCTATTCTGCACTGATCCACAGAGAAGCCACCAGCGGTCCTTGGGCCCTGGCAAGGTATCCAAACGGAGATTTGCTCAAGGATAAGGTACACACAGGCTTTTAAAGACTGTGTGTGTACAATAGCGCATTAATAATTTTACACTGATTCCATATCCAAAAAAATAGCTCTGTTAAACATGATTCTGACCTGTTCCTTTTTTACTCTCTTTGCTGGGCTAGCAAGGCATTTAGAAATGATAGCATGGTGTTTCATGTATACGGGTCACTTAATAGCAAACCCACAGGAAAAGATGGAGTGAGCTTCATCATCAAAATAAACAAATTTTACTTTTCTAAAAAACCCCTCCCTGCCATGGAGTCCAGGCTGACGTACAGAGACCCTGCAGGACAGGTGAAACTGCCCCTGTGAGTTTCTGAGCTGTAACTCTTTATGGGGGTAGAAAGCCTCCTATTTCTCCCGAGGAGAACCTGATGGTTTTGAACTGCTGACCTTGTGGTTAGCAGTAAATGCATGATCACTATACCACCAGGGCTCAAAATACTGAGCCAAAATGAGCATCAAGAAATTGGAGCACACATACGCTAGTCTTCCAAGTCTCCCCACATTTCCTCCTAGACGCTGGCTGTGGTGGGAGCTGGCAGTCCGAAATTAGAAGCCGAGCTCACTTCAACGTTTTAATCACAAAAGGTCCCAAGCTCACAAACACACTCAAGGGGCAGTCCCAGGGGCGCCCTCTGGCCCACCCCGTGGTGCCTCACAAGTGCCTTGGCTTTGGAACATAGAGGGCAGCGTTGTGGACTCCTGCTGTGGCCACATTATCCGTGTTTTGCCGTTGTTGTTGTTCTGTGACTGACAAGCCTACAGGGGTGCCGGGCGAAGCAGAGATCCCGAAAGAGCCCTGGTGTGTGTGACCGCGGTGTGCGCCCGCTCTGCGCAGCTTCCGCCTTCCCAAGTTCAGTTCTCCAATTCACTTCCTCAATCGTGGGAGGACAATGCGACCGCCCTTGTGGGTTGACGCTGTACTGGCTCCTGCGGGCTGCCCTCCGGTGATCTTGGAAACGTAATTTGGACCCGTGTTCCAAGCACCTTTCAAACACCCACTCACGGCCACCCCTGTGTGTGAGAGCGGGGCTGCCCTCC